TTTCGAGAGAAGCGTTTTATGCCAAACCCGATCGAAGGCCTTCGCTATGACCAAACTAACTGAAAAAACCTCCCATTCTGACTCGATCCCCTTTGCCCATCCGTACATCCGCAAAACCGTACTGGCAGTCCCTAATCAGCTGGTGATCCTCAAGGTACCGCATGAGCTGGTTGTTAATAATGGACTCCATTGTTTACAACATTTCATTATGAATACATATTCAAGGATGTGATGGTGATAGGCCTGTGGTTGGACGGATCATAGAAGTTACCTTTTTTATGGATCGGGTGCACGAAAGCTGTCTTTCGTGATTTTGGGACTACGCCTAGTGAGTAGGAGTACCAGGAAAGACGCGTTAGAGCCGGTGCCAAGCCTGGAGCACACATCCTCATCACAATTAGGGGGTTCCGTCAGGCCTACTCGATTTGTGTATGTCCAGGTATAGGAGTGTTTTACGTACTGAGCACTGTGTGAATCGCACATCAGGCAGAGAGAACACACTGTGGTGTTGTCTTCCTCCCGTCATCGAGAGTCGAGATGGACGCAAAAAGAGAGCCTAAAAGATCGGCTTACTGTTTTGCGGCTTGCGCCAGTATGTCGTGCTCCCTGTGCAGAGATGGTAGTGATAGCTTACGAAAATTGCCTTGGAAGGCCTTTGCGAGAGACCAGAATGCACGGGTTACCGAAGGAAGGTGAACTAATTTCTCGCCAATTCTGCCAACGTGCTCATACTTTGCCTTGGTGATAACTCTTTTAAAGGAGCTAGAGGCGAAGTTAAACTTCCTTCTAAGCTTACTGGTGTTTACATCCCGAGTCGCCGAGAGAGTCGCTGAGATCTGCCTCCGATGGACACCGCAGATAACGGAATAAATATTTCCATTCCATGTAGCACCGCATCAGTAACAGAGTAAGCAACAGCGCCCCCATGAGTAGGATGCAAAGAAAACTACACTCCGTCCCAATCTGCTGACCTGTAACTCCAAAACGGAGTCAACCTGCAGAATGCAACCGCGAAGGGAGCATAAGTGGCAGTACACTCCGGATCAGACGATGATCCGAAGAGCCGAGAGGGGCATCAACGGAAACCTGATATCCATCCGGATGAGGGTTCAGCAGAAGGTCCTACAGGGAAAGTGTATAATCTAGCACATCTAGAGTCCCCGTATATAATTTAATAATGCAATTCCGTTAATGTTATAATTTTTCATAAGAGAACTCACAACCCCATGTCATACCATCAATCTCGTAAGGAGCGCCTATGGGAAGCGAAACAGGAGTTGGTTAGCAGTATCCACCTCAAACTTAAAGGAAAAAAAGAATAAAAATAAAATAAAGAATAAAATAATAGAAAGAATAAAATATTCCCTTATAAAGCAATCTATGGGGAGGCTAATGTTCACCAGTAGATTATCAAAAGGCTGTAAGTAATGACTAAATGGATATTAGATGAGTTAACCTTATGTGAATCATCGATCTGAGAGCAGATTCGAACTGAACTGAACGTGGCGCAATATCTTTGTATGTTACCATTCTTTATTTTTGAAAGTTTATGAAATAGTTTACACAAGCACAAGCTGACTTAATGATGCAAAGTTGAAAAACCATTGTTAATGTTCCTTTACTCTGTCTAAACATTCACATCCTCGCATATTAAGATTATTAAGAAACAGTTTGTGTGTCGAAACGTCTCGGAATGACATTTATTTGGCGGAAGTCCATCATTATGAAAAGTTTTGAGTACTATTGGACTTTTCCAACTGAACTCACGTATTTCGATCTTACACTCTTATCACTCTTATCTCCCATACACAGTTATGACCCACGCAATAAAATGGTATTAATGCCAATGACTTGAGTACAATGACCATACAACCAGACCACAAAATTAACAATATTTTCGTCACAAAAACCTTCTTCTAAAAAAGTTAACTGCATCACAATCCTTGGCTCTGTAGGCATTTAAGCTTACCTTCAGTCACAAGCTTTGATCATATGAGTGAGCTAATGTCTCATGTCTTTTGCATAGGATTTTTATGTGATAAGAGTCACGCCGCTGTAGTATGTAAGTATAGCTAATACACTGCTATACTTCTAAGAACCACTTACATAGATTAGCTACATGTTAAAGTAGCTACATGGTGCTTTCTTTCGTATACCATAGTACCAGGCATTCAATTGTTCGTTGCTTAGGGGTGACAAAGCATTCGCATTTTGATTCCTAATCAGGTGTTGTATGAAGGATATATATAGGTGTCTCTAGACTAAAGAATCCTTTTATTATCCGGTGAACTGTGAATCCTTTTGTATTTTCCTATTATGAATGAAAGAAGTCTACAGATGTTATTCAGCTTTAAATTTAATTCGTGCTTTTTGAATTTTTGAAAAACAAGGTGGGTCCATTAACCACGTGCGGAGATTTTGGCGATTTTCTACCCTCCCCTCCCGCTTGTTAAGATGTCGTGAGATATGGCTCGACCACAAATTTCGAGTGAGATTTTTCAAAATGTAGTTTTAGTGTAAATACGTTAATCTGTGCTGGATTGCGTTGGGTTTATTTAAAAAAAAAAAGGTAATTTATTTCATTATTTTTATATAATTTGTGTAGTTCGCATAACAGTGATAAATATTATTATGTAGGGATATGCCATATGTTACTTAATTTAACCCAATATTCTCGAAATTTTACACAGTTTCTTAAGGAAAAAAATACTTGATATTTGCCGAAACCCCTCCTCTTCCCCACGTGATATTGGGTGAGATTCAGCTCGACCCTCTCCGCTCATCAAACACCTCATGTAATTAATGGACGCTCCCCCAAGGTACGACAATTAAAACAAGTCTTTTAGCGTTGCTTTCTTTTTTCTTAATGTGATTTAATTCTGTGCAAACTTATTATAAAAAAAGTAAACAATAAATAATTATAGAGTTAACAGACGGTTGAATTTTGACCGCTCCGTACTAAATCTGTTAGTAGAAAGAGTAGTCCGCTGAAAATAATTATTCCCTATACTTAAACATTCTGGAGTCCTCACGATGGTTTCCTTTATCAGTAAGCGGTAAAGCACTTATTTTTTTAATAAAATTGAAGCGTCAAACGATGTTACAGTCCACCTGATGTTAAGCGCCCACTGCAATGGATATCTGCGACCAACTTCAAACAAAGAAGTCCAGTTTCAAACAGATGCATTATCACCTCTAAGGACTCAGATGGAATGTCTCACAGCATGTAGTCATACTGGCTCCATTTACCGTTCAGATTGGAACATATAAAAGATGTCATACGATATAAGTGATTGTAATTAATAATGTGAGAAAATATGCATGTTCTAATTAATAAAATATTTCGTGGATACAATACGAAGTCCGCGAGGCGGATTGTCCTTAAGACAAACTAGGCACTTGCCACTAGGGGCGCAAAGTTACAAATATGCGCGCGCGGACGTTTTTGAACGAAAATAAATTAAGTACATACTTACTAAGAAAAATAAATTGAACTTTCTATAGAGATGTAGAGCTTCCAAAGCGCGCCCTATTTACTTGACGCCCTCACTCTTTTATCACGTTTTTCATTCATGCCCACCTTCATCACAAGTCCTTACGTGTCCATATTATTCTGCAAATGAACTATATTATAAATTATAATATAATTTATTTGCAAAATAAGTATTTATAATAATATATGGCCGCCAGAAGTGTGCCTACGAGGTGCTAGCATAGGGCACTGTCCACGTTTAATCTGCGTCTGGAAGTCCGCCAATACGCAATGTAGCAGTACGGCTGACTAATTGCTTCATAACTCTCAGAAATGAGATGCGGCCTACTGGAGGAGGAATACTGGAATTGAAGCATTCCACCTTAGTCCTCAGGGGTGACAACGCATATGTATTTTGATCCTTAATTGAGGATAAATGTCGATTTCTATGGGCCACAGCATCCACTTATCATCAGGTGGACTGTGTGCTCGTTTGTCACCCAACGCTATAAAAAAATTACTCTTAATATAATATGTTACCAAAAGTTATTTTAAAAACCCCATCATTTATATCAAGTAACAAGCGGTAAAATTAAAAAAAATTGTACAACCGACTTCAATATAAATAAAAGAAGAACATCATCAATGTATTCGAAGTCAATTAAACACGCATTATTAAGGATAACTCAAAAACTACTGGTCAGATTTTAATAAAATTTATATGCGATCATATGAGAAGCACCAGCTTTTAAAAAAAAACATCTAAATCGTTTCACCTAGAAAGAGTTACACAGAAGAAGAGTACAGTCGAATTGAAAACCTTCTCCATTTTTCGAAGTTGGTAAAGAAGACGCAAATCGGCGACTGGAATACAAAAATATTTCTGGTACATGTGCGCCATCCCAATGGGTGTTAGGTTAGGGCAGTGCGTTGGAATTTTACCGAACCCAAGACCCTCTTAGTTATAAGAAGAAATCTAAGATTAGCAGAGAGGCTAATGAAGGCTTTATTTTACTTTTCATGTATAATAAAGTAAATATTAATTAGTTTAACTATGCAGGTATATTTTACTAGTATATTTTTAAAACATCGAATTTGAAATCAATACTCATTTTCTTGTATGTTCAACTGCGAACTTATGAAGAGCTGTTATGAGATGATTAATTTTTTTAATGTTTCTTATCTTTTTTTGTTTTTGACCGCTCTCTCTCACTCTCTCAATAGTTTTAAAATTTCTGAATTTACCTATATATTAAGTTTGTAATTCTGAATTCCCATAATAATAAATTATGTTACATAAGCATACTTTTACTGTTCGATGTCGTGTCCGTACGTTTATGCACCGTTTAGATGTATTGATTTTTTTCTTTTAGTTTGCTAATTGTTGATTGAAATGATCATATTTTACTATCACATGTATACACACATACAATACAAAATTTAAATGCGGTTATTGAAATTAAAAAATTATGATTTGTCCAAAATGTTTATTTTTTTAATTATAAAGTAAATTTTATTACTACTGGCTATGATACACCGACTTAAGTACTTCTTATTGGTTTGTGACTTGATTCTATTTCCTTCAGGTAACATCGCATTTTACAGACATCTTTGAGTTGGATGCAATGAGGGCTAATAATTTTCCGCTCACTAGATGTCACTAGTTGACACTGAGGTAAAGTTTTTGTTAAACAATATCATTTAATTGAGAAGTTAGTTTTAAATAAAAGTTTATCAGTTTCTAGTGTATTAATTAATACACAAAACAATACCTCAGTAGTTTACTCTTTAATTTTTTCCACATTTTTAACTATTTTTTTTACCTTCATGAATATATGTGGTTTGTTTTATTTATTTTTAATGTATTTAACATAAAATATAACTAATAGTACAGAAACAAACATTAACCTTTACATTTCACATCCCCGCTATAAAATCTGTCAAATATTACACCTCTTTTTTAAATCGCCCCGGTGGCAGAAAAAGTCGTGGATACCTTCATCGACACCTCATCAGGGTTTACCACAAATTATATATATTTTTAATATATGAAGATTAGTTATCATCATCTTCGTTACGACCTATCAAAAGACCACTGCCAAACAGGTATTCCTCATAGATGCCTCGTATGGAGAGGGGATATGTCATGTAGTGGCAAAGCAAGAGAATCCTCATGTCATCCCGTGTCTATTGTAAAATGTGACAGAAGGAAATGAAGTAGTAGATGGGCAGCAACTATCTTCCTGATAACAACCGTAAATAATTAAAAAACTGAAATTATCTATCCGCCTGCCAAGCGTAGCAACTCTGGCAAAGATTAAGCATAAGTCATATTTATATCGACATAAACTATATAAAGAAATGTCAGCCTGAAATTTTAAGTATAAATAACTTTTAACGAAGAAGTTGTTTGTTATATTGTTTAGATAAAAGAAATACGACGCATATTCGGTTAATCAAAGCAAACAATAAAATAATACTACGAAATGGATTTCATACATCCGTACGCTTCTACTGGTACAAGTACCGTGGGAATACTATAGTGAGCTTAAACGAGGCACCGGGTCAGCTCCGCTAAGTGCAACATTTCTCAACACCTCAACTTGCAGAGAGTTGTAAGACGAGGTCAGTAACAGCCGAGTTTTGCTGTTCGTCGCACGTGGTTCTAAGCAAACGCTGAAAGTAGAATTATTGTATTTCTAGAATATATTGTGTCATCTGGATTTATCGAGCAAAAAGGCGGGAAAGGTATTTTTTTATTTAAATCTGTCTATTTATTTATTTCTTTTTAATATATTCTGTTACATCTAAAACAAATTTCGAAATTAGAAAGGATCGATCTTAGGCCAATAAAGAAGTATCGGTGGTAAAAATTTATGAGGATTACAGTAACGCAATTGATCGTTTATTTTTATAAATGGGTTAGTAGGACGTCAAAGGTCTTCTGTGGGCCGTAACGAAATCTCCTTTGGTAATTATAGAGAAGCTGTGTCTTTCTTTGTTCGGCAGATTTTGGTGGTTACTTAACAACTTGCTTGGAGCTTTAATTGCATCACTATGTGGGAAAAATATTAGGATATGTTACGAAACGTTAATTATAAGATTTTAAAGAAAGTTATTGCTAATTATAAATTTCTTTAAAGGTTTAGTTCAATTGAAAATTATTAAAAAGTTTTGTTTTACCCTCATTACGAAGTTTAAGAATTATTGAAGATGATATGAAATAAAAAACCCTAATATTATGGATAGCTCTTTTTACTCGTAACTTTTTACTCGGACTGAAAATGCAGACGTTTGCATTTTCATTTTTTATCAAGAATGGTCTGATGTATGTGTCTACAGACCCCAGCATTCACTTACCACCAGGTTGATTACGTGCTCGTATGCCTGCGTCACCCTTTCTTTTATAAAAATATCATTGTGTTTTATAAAAATAACAGTTATACTAAGCAGCCGCGTGATCTACGGGTCATGAACTCTCTTCCGTATCATGCCCAGGTTTCGAATCCCAGCCGGAGCAGAGTGTGGGTAGGGTTGCCAACATTTTTATACGAAATATAATATTTTTGAGGATATTAGCAGTAATAACATAGTATATGCCTGTATCTTTTGTCTAACTGTTAGCTGTTAGCGCGACTACTGGTTCAAATACCGGGTCGGACCAAAATCATTTATTGGATTTTTCTGTCGAGAAATTCTCAATAACAGTCCGGAGACAGATCGTTGGTTGTGTTTCAACCCCGTACCTTTGAAAGCATGTAAAGCTGTTTGTCCTGCGCTACGCCTGGTCTTTTTCTTCCTAGTGCACATGTGCTTGCGCCAACTTTTTTATAGTCCCTACCGTCCTTAAATATGTGCGTAATTTGTCCCCATTGCGGTTGGTCGCCGTGACAGAAATTCGATCTAGAAGATTTTTAACACCAACGTACATGAAACATATAATATATTTCTAAATAGTATTATTCTTTTTTAAATTTGCTGCTTTGTGCTTTTACAAAGACTAAAAGCCTAAAATAAACCCAGTTTCTGTTAAAAAACAATTTCGCCTACCAAGTACATGTTTTCATATATATATATATATATATATATATATATATATATATATATATATATATATATATATATAATCCGTAATAATATATATTATGTATCATTATAATTTGTAAATAGTTATAAGATTATCCATATAAACATAGTAATACATACATAATTTTTAAATAAATCTCACTTTAGATAAAATAATTAGTAATGCTAAAGTTCTAAAATATCATATTATCTATAAATTGAAAGCTATGTAGATGCATATTAAATATTTTAATTATCTATGTAAAATTTCATAAGTATTATAACATTAGATTCAAGAAAAATTCTTTTTTATTTCAGGAACTTAAGTATACCATATAAACATTTTATTACTAGCCAATTTTTAAGTTTAGTTCTAAATCTGCATATCTCCGTTTGTTCCTTAATTTCAAGCGATAGCAGTTTATATATATATATATATATATATATATATATATATATATATATATATATATATATATATATATCTTTAACAATTTCATGTTTTGCTGGTACACGACGCTTACTAAGTTTTTATTTATTTACACACTAGTAAGGATGTACATTGCTGGCAAATTAAGTAGGTTCAAAGCCTTAAATTCAGGCTTACAGTTACAGGTCTCATGCCATCTGGTTTCACTCAAAGTTCTGACACATTATGTTCAGTACCTTACCGCTCTTTTCCAGTCAGAACTATTACCCCAGACTAATAACAGATAATATCAAAGTTGTTGCAACATCCCCATGGTATGCAATAATCCCCGTTTTCACGTTAATTTCTAGAAGTCAAATAAGGTTGTAGCCAATTCACTGTCAGTCCTCTTATACCTCTTATACCACTTCATGCTAATTCAAAGAATCGAGTATACCGCTACCGTCACAGTCTATAAAAGTCCACATAAGCCTCGTGCTGAACATAAACCTCCCTTATAAATTCACTTATGGGAGGATACTTGCCATAGTGTTTTACAATCCAAGTTTTTGGAAATATTTTAGTCGTTATTAGGAAGATGCTGCTGCCCATCTCTTGATTTGTTTCCCTCAGTCGCCTCTAACAACACCCACGGGATGATATGGGATAATGGATTTTCTTACAGCGCCACTTCATGGTAAGTAGTGAAGTAGAGTATAATGGCAAACATTTTCTAAAGCTTTTGACATGACAAAGAATTTTGCGGTTACATTTTCTTTATCAACAATGCAATTCATGATTTTTTAATCAGGTTAAAAAAAGATCGTTGATATTCTTGTATAAATACTGATTAGTTTTTATTAAATAACATTTATTAAAATAGTGCATTAGTCTTTTTTGCATAGCTTTTCCAAAAACTTTTACTAGCACGGAGAGAATTGGAGGTAAATTATTTCAAAGATCGTGTTCATGAGTCTTCTTTCTATGTATAATTGATTTAACCATCGATAATTTCAATTATTGCGGAATTATGCCTAGTAAGCACTGGCAATACTTAAACTCATAGGATAATATATTGGGATATGTACAATATTGTAATATATGGTAGGGTTGAGATAGCATGAGTGGATGTGTCTGGATTTTTAATTAATAATAAATATTAATAGTCACCTTGTCGGTTATACTATATAATTCAACGAAATATAAAACATTTGAAATTTCACATCTTATTTAGTCAATCCAATCTAATTCCTTTGTAACAATCTATACTCTGTGGGACTGTTTGCTCATAGACTATTAAGTGTTTGACATTGGCCTTAGAATAATAACTCGCATATTATGCTTGTACAGTAAGAACTAAAACTATTATAATACATACCTACTCTTTGGTCAAACAAACGACACATTTGTTTAAGCGACGATTATGTTTGTTAGTGGCAGTATGAATGTAAACGATGTATGTTTAATTTAATTTAATATTTTATTAATATTTTTATTTGTAACAAATATTAAGAATTAATTTTAGCTTTCTGCACTCCTTCTGAAATATAATTTTAACTACGCCAAACCCCACACTACTCTGTGCGCGCAATATCTTAAAAGACAACAAAAGTACAAAGTTTACCCTTCACGTATTAATTTAAAGATAACACAAAAATATAATATATAATATTTCTCCTGCGCATATTATAAGTTATAAGTAGTAAAGGTTATTTTCTGTGGAAATCGCGATGGTGTCTATTCAACAAAATGTATGGATATCCATTTTTTTTTTCATAGAATAAGAGAAGTAGGTCACCTGAATGATAAAAGTGGATGATGTAGCCAATAGACCTACATTTATCCTTAATTACTAAGATCATCTACATTTAGCCTCGAGGACTAAGATCTAATGCACAAGGCATTGGATCTTAGTCCACAGGTTGCAGTAAAAAAGGTCTCCGGTTTTCTATACACCCACCATATCAAGCTGGTGTTTTACGCAGGTATTGTGTGAGAGAGTGGTCCTAACCCCGTCGAGTTGACCCATTCGTGTTTCAACTATAATATAGCTGAAGTGTGGCTCTGCCATGTGTGATATATATTTTTAGGGAAAACAGACATATATAAAATCAGAAATCCTTTACCCATTACAATTGCATCGTTATATTGTTCTTTCCATATTTGAAGCGTCTTTGCATTTCTTTTATATCCTATTTAGGTAAAAATTTAGTTTATTTGACATAAACATTTTAAATAAAAATGTTTGCAAAAACTTTTAATGAATCAAAATATTTGCCTGAATTATTAACACATTCTTGCAATTTTATCAGTTTGTTTGTTGGCAGTTTGTTGATATCCTTGTTATTGAAATCCTTGAAGTTAGAATCGATAAACTTTTTATAGGCGTTCTTTTAATGCTTCTTTGAAATTGTAAATTTCGTGTATCAAAAAATTAACTAAACTTCGAAAAATGTAAAAGTTTGTTATGACAAGGTCTTAAGAATATGACGGAAGAAGAAGAGTCTCTAGTTTTATCGCTGTTAGTGTCGCTAATGTCAAGTCAATGTCTGTTTTTTAACCGATTTTCCGCAAATGATGCTAGCTCAACGTTTGAGACGTATTGTTTTCTCATCGGAACTCATATTCAAAATAACACTTAGTGAGTCCGTGGCTTAAAATAAAATGATGTTGCAGAAGAACTAAAACCTAAAGAAACAAATGCATAACTGATCGTGAGAAAGGAATAACATGCCAGTTATTTGAATTTAGAATTTCAAGTCACACCATACCACCGTTTTAAGTGACCAGTTCTACAAAACGCCAATTTCATTGGTAAAGACCTAATACATACAATTAGAATGGCTTGTGAAGTGTTTGTAAAATGAACTTGTTTAAATACCAAAACCACCAGAACACGGATTTCGCAACTGTCCTCCAAATGATGATATGTTAACACACAATGTACACACGTTTGTTTAAAGATGACGTTAAAAACTACATTTAAAACATATGTGTATGTGTAGATACGTATTAGAATTGTATTGCATTTATTTCCATAGAGGAACGCAAGTCTCCCCCAAGTAATACCACCAAACATCGTCCTACTTCCCACATGACTCCATCGTCTTTCTGCATATTATTTTTATTCAGTTTTAATCTCTCGCGATCACGATCTCTTGCGATACACATGTAATGAAGTGAGGTGATGAATTCTCTTAGAGTTACCATCTCATGGTATTACTAAGCAGAGATATCATAACTATTTGAAACTGGATCATCGCACAGTCAGTTG